AGATTCTTCTTTGATTTTATCAAGAATCTCTAAATATATAGCAGAAGCACCAGACCAGATGTGGCAGCAATATTCAAAGCAAGGATGAATGGTAGACTTATAAATATGTAAGATAGATTCTTCTTTGGATTTTATCAAGAATCTCTAAATATATAGAAGCACCAGACCAGACGTGACAGCAATATTCAAAGCAAGGACCAATGATGTAAGATAGATTCTTCTTTGGATTTTATCAAGAATCTCAAATATTCAAAGCAACCAGATGAATGGTAGTAGACTTATAAATATGTAAGATAGATTCTTGTTTGGATTTTATCAAGAATCTCTAAATATATAGCAGAAGCACCAGACCAGATGTGGCAGCAATATTCAAAGCAAGGATGAATGGTAGACTTATAAATATGTAAGATAGATTCTTGTTTGGATTTTATCAAGAATCTCTAAATATATAGCAGCACCAGACCAGAGATGGCAAATATTCAAAGCAAGGAGGAATGGTAGACTTATAAATATGTAAGATAGATTCTTCTTTGGATTTTATCAAGAATCTCTAAATATATAGAAGCACCAGACCAGATGTGGCAATAATATTCAAAGCAAGGAGGAATGGTAGACTTATAAATATGTAAGATAGATTCTTCTTTGGATTTTATCAAGAATCTCTAAATATATAGCAGAAGCACAAGACCAGAATGCAAGGAGGAATGGTAGCAATATTCAAAGATTCTTCTTTTGTTTTATCAAGGAAATATATAAGAATGGTAGACTTATAAATATGTAAGATAGATTCTTCTTTGGATTTTATCAAAAATCTCTAAATATATATCAGAAGCACCAGACCAGATGTGGCAGCAATATTCAAAGCAAGGAGGAATGGTAGACTTATAAATATGTAAGATAGATTCTTCTTTGGATTTTATCAAGAATCTCTAAATATATAGCAGAAGCACCAGACCAGATGTGGCAACAATATTCAAAGCAAGGATGAATGGTAGACTTATAAATATGTTAGATAGATTCTTCTTTGGATTTTATCAAGAATCTCTAAATATATAGCAGAAGCACCAGACCAGATGTGGCAGCAATATTCAAAGCAAGGAGGAATGGTAGACTTATAAATATGTAAGATAGATTCTTCTTTGGATTTTATCAAGAATCTCTAAATATATAGCAGAAGCACCAGACCAGATGTGGCAGCAATATTCAAAGCAAGGATGAATGGTAGACTTATAAATATGTAAGATAGATTCTTCTTTGGATTTTATCAAGAATCTCTAAATATATAGCAGAAGCACCAGACCAGATGTGGCAGCAATATTCAAAGCAAGGAGGAATGGTAGACTTATAAATATGTAAGATAGATTCTTCTTTGGATTTTATCAAGAATCTCTAAATATATAGCAGAAGCACCAGACCAGATGTGGCAGCAATATTCAAAGCAAGGAGGAATGGTAGACTTATAAATATGTAAGATAGATTCTTCTTAGGATTTTATCAAGAATCTCTAAATATATAGCAGAAGCACCAGACCGTTTGTGGCAGCGATATTCAAAGATAGAAGAATGGTAGACTTATAAATATCTAAGATGGATTCTTCTTGGATTTTATCAAGAATCTCTAAATATATATCAGAAGCACCAGACCAGATGTGACAAACAATATTCAAAAGCAAGGAGGAATGGTAGACTTTATAAATATGGAAGATAGATTCTTCTTTGGATTTTATCAAGAATCTCTAAATATATAGCAGAAGCACCAGACCAGATGTGGCAGCAATATTCAAAGCAAGGAGGAATGGTAGACTTATAAATATGTAAGATAGATTCTTCTTTTTGATTTTATCAAGAATCTCTAAATATATAGCAGAAGCACCAGACCAGATGTGGCAGCAATATTCAAAGCAAGGATGAATGGTAGACTTATAAATATGTTAGATAGATTCTTCTTTGATTTTATCAAGAATCTCTAAATATATAGCAGAAGCACCAGACCAGATGTGGCAGCAATATTCAAAGCAAGGATGAATGGTAGACTTATAAATATGTAAGATAGATTCTTCTTTGGATTTTATCAAGAATCTCTAAATATATATCAGAAGCACCAGACCAGACCAGATGTGGCAGCAATATTCAAAGCAAGGATGAATGGTAGACTTATAAATATGTAAGATAGATTCTTCTTTGGATTTTATCAAGAATCTCTAAATATATAGCAGAAGCACCAGACCAGATGTGGCAGCAATATTCAAAGCAAGGATGAATGGTAGACTTATAAATATGTAAGATAGATTCTTCTTTGGATTTTATCAAGAATCTCTAAATATATAGCAGAAGCACCAGACCAGATGTGGCAGCAATATTCAAAGCAAGGATGAATGGTAGACTTATAAATATGTAAGATAGATTCTTCTTTGGATTTTATCAAGAATCTCTAAATATATAGCAGAAGCACCAGACCAGATGTGGCAGCAATATTCAAAGCAAGGATGAATGGTAGACTTATAAATATGTAAGATAGATTCTTCTTTGGATTTTATCAAGAATCTCTAAATATATAGCAGAAGCACCAGACCAGATGTGGCAGCAATATTCAAAGCAAGGATGAATGGTAGACTTATAAATATGTAAGATAGATTCTTCTTTGGATTTTATCAAGAATCTCTAAATATATAGCAGAAGCACCAGACCAGATGTGGCAACAATATTCAAAGCAAATGGATCAATGGTAGACTTATAAATATGTAAGATAGATTCTTATTCAAAGTTTGGATTTTATCAAGAATTCTTTTAAATATATCAGAATCAGAAGCACCAGACCAGATGTGGAAGCAATATTCAAAGCAAGGATGAATGGTAGACTTATAAATATGTAAGATAGATTCTTGTTTGGATTTTATCAAGAATCTCTAAATATATAGCAGAAGCACCAGACCAGAGATGGCAGCAAATATTCAAAGCAAGGATCAATGGTAGACTTATAAATATGTAAGATAGATTCTTCTTTGGATTTTATCAAGAATCTCTAAATATATAGCAGAAGCACCAGACCAGATGTTGCATCAATATTCAAAAGCAAGGATCAATGGTAGACTTATAAATATGTAAGATAGATTCTTCTTTGGATTTTATCAAGAATCTCTAAATATATAGCAGAAGCACCAGACCAGATGTGGCAGCAATATTCAAAGCAAGGATGAATGGTAGACTTATAAATATGTAAGATAGATTCTTCTTTGGATTTTATCAAGAATCTCTAAATATATAGCAGAAGCACCAGACCAGATGTGGCAGCAATATTCAAAGCAAGGATCAATGGTAGACTTATAAATATGTAAGATAGATTCTTGTTTGGATTTTATCAAGAATCTCTAAATATATAGCAGAAGCACCAGACCAGATGTGGCAGCAATATTCAAAGCAAGGATGAATGGTAGACTTATAAATATGTAAGATAGATTCTTGTTTGGATTTTATCAAGAATCTCTAAATATATAGCAGAAGCACCAGACCAGAGATGGCAGCAATATTCAAAGCAAGGATGAATGGTAGACTTATAAATATGTAAGATAGATTCTTGTTTGGATTTTATCAAGAATCTCTAAATATATAGCAGAAGCACCAGACCACATGTGGCAGCAATATTCAAAGCAAGGATCAATGGTAGACTTATAAATATGTAAGATAGATTCTTGTTTGGATTTTATCAAGAATCTCTAAATATATAGCAGAAGCACCAGACCAGATACATGTGGCAGCAATATTCAAAAGCAAGGATGAATGGTAGACTTATAAATATGTAAGATAGATTCTTCTTTGGATTTTATCAAGAATCTCTAAATATATATCAAAGCACGAGACCAGAGATGGCAGCAATATTCAAAAGCAAGGATGAATGGTAGACTTATAAATATGTAAGATAGATTCTTGTTTGGATTTTATCAAGAATCTCTAAATATATAGCAGAAGCACCAGACCAGATGTGGCAGCAATATTCAAAGCAAGGAGGAATGGTAGACTTATAAATATGTAAGATAGATTCTTCTTTGGATTTTATCAAGAATCTCTAAATATATAGCCGAAGCACCAGACCAGATGTGGCAGCAATATTCAAAGCAAGGATGAATGGTAGACTTATAAATATGTAAGATAGATTCTTCTTTGGATTTTATCAAGAATCTCTAAATATATAGCCGAAGCACCAGACCATATATAACAGAAATATTTAAAGCAAGGATGAATGGTAGACTTATAAATATGTAAGATATATTCTTCTTTGGATTTTATAAAAGAATCTCTAAATATATTGCAGAAGCACCAGACCAGATGCGGCAGCAATATTTAAAACATCGTCGAATAGTAGATTTATAAATATGTAAGGCAGATTCTGACGAGAAACATTGTCTAGCTTGACACAAGGAAACAACTTTCTTAGCTGCACACGTAACAATTGATTCAATTTACCTATTTTCCACTTTTTGCCAGGGGAAAACGTTAGACCTGGAGGTTAGTATCGGTCATCTATTAAATTATTTTCGTTTTGGAGGCATTAAAATCAATCATTTCTCGCCTCATTTAATAACATTGTAGATCAGTTTTTCAGATTATCTGCCAGTTTGATTTTATCGAACCAATCCGACTTACTATTAAGACAGGAGTAAATAGTAATGTCATCAGCAGAGGTTACGAAATGATGGCATCAGGAAGTTCATTTAGGAAAACTGACATTTTCTCACGTATCGCCATCATTTCAAAGTCGCATGTATGTTCATTTGTGATGAGACAGCAAAGTAAAGCGATGTTTTAACAATATACAAAATGCAAGCATCTTAAGAGTGTGAAGCTCCAATAATTTAGACATTGAATCAGTTGTGTTTCCGTATCGACCGAGTACTTCTGCTCTTTACATTTCAATCGTAATGTCCTCGCTCATTGGCTGCTATTTATCATTGAATCTGTGGGACGTATCTTCCGAGGATTACTCAAAATGGCTGGATATCTTACACAAACAGACCACATAGAATAGCCATCGGCCTGGCAATAAATAGAGAGTTGGAATTCCTCGGACGCTTAATGGGGAAAGAAAGCCTGGATGATTTATACAGAAGGCTAGCGAAGTCAAGATTAACAGGGAGAAAGTTATTTCAAGATAGTTTGAATAGATGATAAAACAGGAGCAAATACGGATGCTAAACGCTCAGAAGATACTTAGGGCAACCAAAAAAATAGGAAATCGTGGAGAACCATCGTCGCCAACTTCTGAAAAGGAGGCAGCAAATAAATGGGAATAATTGCTAAAATTAAATTTGTTTTTTCGTTACCGAGCAATACAACATTAATGTTAATGATTAACAGCTTGTTTCGCTTAATCAGTTACAACCAAGTAGTAAGTTCAATCCTCGCTAGATCCTTATAGTGTCATCTAAGCTGCACTTAGTAAATAACTATTTAACAAAGGCCGCTTACACTGAAAACAGAATGAAATATTAAGAAGGAAAATACTTGAATGTTGAAGAAATCACTGCATGAGACATTCAATTTTCTTGAAAAATATTACATCGAAATCTTAGATATAACATAAAAGTATTAAAAACTATCTTAAAAGCTAATTCCTGCGTAAGGGGTAATTGGACTTCTCTCCCAAATCTAAAGGGAGATCTGGCCCAACATAGAAAACAGCAATGATAATTTTGAAGAAATATCTTTGGATTCCTCAAACATGGAACCTTCAAAACCCCATTTTAACACTGTTTCGGACTATAAGAACAATTCCGACCAAAAGATCGATTTGTGCCAAAATTCTAATTCAGGCTTCAAATTGAGTTCTTCAAATCACAAAAATCCGTAGACCTTCAATTCAGTTGACTTCACAAACGCTACGGGACTGAAAAACCTCACGTTCCTAAACCTCTCATTTTAACTCTAATTCCTTGGAATTATGAAGAAAATAAAATTGATTTCCTCAATTCACAAAGTTTTGGAGATATTTTAAGCTAAATTAAAAACGAAAAGATTGAAATTCACAAAGTTTTGTTTCTTTAAACTCAATATAAATTAAAAACTTTGGAAATCGCTAATTGTTTTAATTTATTTTAAAATTAGAAATCTTAACTGTTCCCTCTTCAACAGGACACAAATTTCTCTGTTAAATGTTCAAGCACCAGATACAAGGCAAGGTTTTCAATCTCGAGACCATGTTGATTCCAAAAAGGTATATGTCAATGTAGAGCAAGTGTGGCTTGATTTAGAGGGATTATAGACATAGACGAACAGAGAGAATTTGACGTTTAATTATTTGGAACGTAACGTAGATATAATTTACGAGTGAAACATCCGAATTATTTTATTCAAACACACACAAAACAAAAATGCCAGGAAATGTAACTTTGTGTCACACAGAGTAGAGGTGGAAGGAGTTGAATGACTGGTTCCTTTTTCTTGCTTCAAAGAGAAGTCTCCAAGCCGCATACCGTAGAGGTGGATGGAGTCGAATGACTGGTTCCATTTTCCTGCTTCCACCAGGAGTCTCAAAGCCGCATAATCGTAGAGGTGGATAGTGTCGAATTACTGGTTCCTTTTTCCTGTCTCATCCAGTTGTCTCCAAACCGCACAGCGTAGAGGTGGATGGAGTCTAATGACTGGTTCCGTTTTCCTACTTCATCCAGGAGACACAAAGCCTAATACCGTAGAGGTGGATGGAGTGGAATGAGAGGTTCTTTTTTTCCTGCTTTAACAAGGAGTCTCCAAACCGCACACTATAGCGGTGGATGGAGTCGAATGATTCGTTCCTTTTTCCTGCTTCATACAAGAGTCTCTAAGCCGTATACCGTAGAGTTGGATGGATTGGAATGACAAATCCTTTTTCATGCTTCATCGAATAGACTCCAAACCGCATAATTTTGTGGAGGATAGAGCCGAAAGATTGGTTCCTTTTCCTGCTTCAACCAGGAGTCTCCAATCCGCACACTGTCGAGGTGGATGGAGTCGAATGACTGGTTCCATATTCCTGCTTTATCCAGGTGTCTCCAAGCCGCATACCGCAGATGTGGATGGATTCGAATGACTGGTTGCTTTTTCCATCTTCAACCAGGAGTTTTGAACCTGAACGCCGTAGAGGAGGATGGAGTCGAATGACTCGTTCCTTTTTCCTGCTTCAACCAGGAGTCTACAAACCGCACACCACAGCGGTGGATAGTGTCGAATGACTCGTTCCTTTCTCCTGCTTCATCCAGGAGACACAAAGACGAATATCGTAGAGGTGGATGGAGTTGAATGACTGGTAGCATTTCCTGCTTCAACCATGAGTCTCTAAGCCGCATATCGTAGAGGTAGATGGAGTCGAATGACAGGTTGCTTTCTCCTGCTTCAACCAGGAGTCTCCAAACCGCACACCACAGCGGTGGATGGTGTCGAATGACTCGTTCTTTTTTCCTGATTCAAACAAGAGTCTACAAGCCGCACACCGTGGAGATAGATGTAGCTAAATAACTGGTTCATTTTTCCTGCTTCAACAAGGAGTCTCCAAGCCGCATACCGTAGAGTGAATAGATTTGAATGACAGGTTACTTTTTCATGCTTCACCGAAAAGACTCCAAGCCGCACACAGTAAACATGGATGTTGTCGAATGACTGGTTCCTTTTTCCTGCTTTATCCAGGAGTCTCCAAGACACCTACCGTAGAGGTGGAAGTAGTCGAATGACTGGTCCCTTTTATCCTGCTTCATCCAGTCGTCTCCGAGCCGCACACCGTATAGGTAGGTGGAGTAGAATAACTAGTTGCTTTTGCTGATTCATCCATTGTCTCCAAGCCTTAGAGATGGATGCAGCTGAATAACTGGTTCCTTTTTCCTGCTTCATCGAAGAGTATCCAAACCACCTACCTTTGGGGTGGATGGAGTCGAATGAATGGTTCGTTTTTCCTGCTTCAACCAGGAGTCTTCAAGCCACCTACCATAGAGGTGGATGTAGTTGAATGACTGGTTCCTTTTTCCCTCTTCATCGAAGAGTATCCAAACCACCTACCTTTGGGGTGGATGGAGTCGAATGAATGGTTCGTTTTTCCTGCTTCAACCAGGAGTCTTCAAGCCACCTACCGTAGAGGTGGATGTAGTTGAATGACTGGTTCCTTTTTCCTGCTTCATCGAAGAGTATCCAAACCACCTACCTTTGGGGTGGATGGAGTCGAATGAATGGTTCGTTTTTCCTGCTTCAACCAGGAGTCTTCAAGCCACCTACCGTAGAGGTGGATGTAGTTGAATGACTGGTTCCTTTTTCCTGCTTCATCGAAGAGTATCCAAACCACCTACCTTTGGGGTGGATGGAGTCGAATGAATGGTTCGTTTTTCCTGCTTTCTCAAGCCACCTACCGTAGAGGTGGATGTAGTTCAATGACTGGTTCCTTTTCCCCAAGTTCATCGAAGAGTGGTCCAAACCACCCACCGTTGAATGGTTTCGTTTTTCCTGCTTCAACCAGAGTCTTCAAGCCACCTACCGTAGAGGTGGGATGTAGTTTAATGACTGGTTCCTTTTTCCTGCTTCATCGAAGAGTATCCAAACCACCTACCTTTGGGGTGGATGGAGTCGAATGAATGGTTCGTTTTTCCTGCTTCAACCAGGAGTCTTCAAGCCACCTACCGTAGAGGTGGATGGAGTTGAATGACTGGTTCCTTTTTCCTGCTTCATCCAGGAGTGTCCAAGGCGCACACCGTAGAGATGGATGTAGTTGAATGAGTGCTTTTTTCTTCCTGATTCATACAGCTGTCTCCAAACCGCACAACGTAAAGGTAGATGTAGTCGAATGACTGCTTCTTTTTTCCTGCTTCATCAAGGAGTCCCCAAGCCACCTACCTTAGAGATGGATGTAGTTGAATGGCTGGTGATTCCTTTTACCTGATTCATCCATTGCCTCCAAGCCGCACACCGTAGAGGTGGATGGAGTTAAATGACTGGTTCCTTTTTCCTGCTTCAATCAGGTTTCTCCAAATCACCTATCTTAGAGATGGATGTAGTTGAATGACTGGTTCTTTTTTCATGTCTCATCTAGGTGTTTCCAAGCCGCACACCCTGGATCTGCATGGAGTCGAATGACTGGTTCCTTTTTCCTGCTTTATCCAGGAGTTTCCAAGCCACACACCGTAGAGTCGGATGGAGTCGAATGACTGGTTCCTTTTTCCTGCTTCATCCAGGAGTTTCCAAGCCGCACACGTAGAGATGAATGTATTTGAATAACTGGTTTCTTTTTCCTGATTCAACCAGGAGTCTCCAAGTCACCTACCGTAGAGGTGGATGGATTCGAATGACTGGCTTCTTTTTCCTGCTTCAACCAGGAGTATCTAAACTGCACACCGTAGTGTTGGATGTATACGACCAGCGGTTTCTACAGCTTGAACTGATGATTCAATTCTGTATCTCAAATTAGAAGTAAAGACATCTTCTTCGAGGTTCATGTGTATCCATTTTCATCTGTGCCTTCCAAGATTATCTTGCAGTGGCTATCATTCGGTGTGACATCTTCGATAATAACGAGAGATTCCTGTCGTTCCACGTACCTTTTTTTTCCAAAGCTTAGCTTAATTTCGAAAAAGGCCGCACTTTTGAAGGAAGGCTCGAACTGCCTCTGCATTGATTGTCTGCTCCAATAGCTCCCTAGCTGCTACCTCAGATTTCATTCTGCTTTTTGTTTTGTTTTTCTTTCACGGATTAATATCTCAAATGGACCTAGACTTAAATTTGATGATGTTCTATATCCATTCCTGTCTGGCCATCGCTTATCTGGATTTAACTCATCTAAGTAAGTATTTAATCCCTAGCCAGGATTATTGGAATTACCCCGCTTAGAGAGTAACAATTTAGAATTTTTATTTTATAGCCAAACAAAATTGATAGAATTATTTAACTTAATGATATATTTTTGCAAATTTTTCATCCTCTTCGTCATCATAATCAGTCCTTTGTCTGTTCCATGAGATTGTTATGTACGATAACTCTTTGTGTCATCTGACCAGCTGTGGCGTTGTTCATCCCCACAAGCGCTCGCATTCAACACTGTCTTGCTTGACGGTCATGCAGAGTGTGTTATTCCGGGAGACGCTGCCAAAACATATCATCATCCATAGCTTAATAGTGACAAGAAAGGATCCCTTTCTACCCACAAAACATTTCACCTTACACAGTCCAATGTCAATGTGTTTCTTTTTTCATTCTTTTTTTTTTTTTTGGCTTCCTGTAAGAGATGCATAGGGGATTTCTCCAGCATTTGTTTTTGAATGGCTGGTTCCGTTTTCTTGCCTGAACCACGCGTATCCAACGCTTACACCTGTAAAAGAGGATGAATACAACCAGGGAATTATAGAGCTTAAAATTGGTATGGAACCTCTAGTATCTGTCTATATTTCTGAGATGAGGTATTATGTACATTATTCGGATTGCTGTCGGACTATTGTCCCTCATCTTTTTATCATATATTTAATACAACGTTTCGGCCTTTCACTATCTTTGTCTATATTTCTGAGATGAGGTCCTATGTGCATTATTTACATTATTCGATTTGTTATTGTCACCATCTTGTCACCATATTTATTACAACGTTTCGTCGCCTTTCAGTCATCAGGTGGTAATTTCTAACTGAACCCTTTATTTCGCTTCTTCCTTCTTCTATTTCACGCTACGTATTGGATGTCATCTTTGTCCAGCCATATTTCCCTATCCAAGTTCTCCACTGCCTTTCAGTATCTTGAACTATATTTTTGGGTCCTGTCACGCTATTATGTACATTATCCACTTTACATTATTCCCGGAGGATAAAGGCATTAGTTTTGACAGGACCAAAGAGTGTGAGTTCAACACCCGGTTAAGGCAGTGAGAACTTTCAGAATCTGTCTATATAACTGAGATGACATCCATTAAACATACATTGTTACATTATTCGGAGCTAATAAAGGGTTCAGTTTGACTCCATCTCAGAAAGATTTATTACTGAAAGGTCAGAAAGGTTGTAATAAATCCGGCGACAAAGATGAGGACAATATGTCCTGAACCCTGTATTTAACTCATCTCAGAAATCCACTCTTCGAAACGTTGTATTGAATATGGCGACAAAGATGAGGACAATAGTCCGAATAATGGAAATAGTGTACATAATACTCAGAAATATAGACAGATACTGAAAGGCTCCAAATATGGCGACAAAGATTCCAATATCCGAATAATGTAAATAGTGTACATACACTGCCCGAAATGTTAAGGAATATATGGACAAAGATAGGTAGAGTTAATGTGTAAATAGTAACACCCTCTTATAGACAGAAAAAGAGAAAGGTCCGAATAATGTATCTAACTAAAAAGGCTGGAATGTATCCCGAAAAATTGATAACATAGTGCTATAATGAAAATAGGATAAAAGGCAAACGTTGTAAAAATATAACAAAGGAGATAACCGAATAATGTAAATAACATACTCATCCCCAGAAATATAGACAGATACTGAAAGTTCAAACGTTGTAATAACATTCCAAGATGAATAATATCCGAATAATGTAAATAGTGTACATAATAATTTCATCTCAGAAATATAGACAGATACTGAAAGGGTTGTAATAAATATGGAACAAAGATGAGGACAATAGTCCGAATAATGTAAATAGTGTAATATAATTTCATCTCAGAAAATATAGACAGATACTGAAAGGCCGAAACGTTGTAATAAATATGGCGACAAAGATGAGGACAATAGTCCGAATAATGTAAATAGTGTACATAATACCTCATCTCAGAAATATAGACAGATACTGAAAGGGCCGAAAACTGTTGTAATAAATATGGCGACAAGATGAGGACAATAGTCCGAATAATGTAAATAGTGTACATAATACCTCATCTCAGAAATATAGACAGATACTGAAAGGCCGAAAAATGTTGTAATAAATATGGCGTCAAAGATGAGGACAAAAGGAATAATGCAAATAGTGTACAGTCTCAATAACAGATACTGAAGTAAAATAGTCAAAGATGAGGACAATAGTCCGAATAATGTAAAATAGTATATAATACCTCATCTCAGAAATATAGACAGATACTGAAAAGGCCGAAACGTTGTAATAAATATGGCGACAAAGATGAGGACAATAGTCCGAATAATGTAAATATTTTAATAACAGATACATCTCAGAAATATAGATAGATACTGAAAGGCCGGAATGTTGTAATAAATATGGTGTGAAAGATGAGGACAATAGTCCGAATAATGTAAATAGTGTACATAATACCTCATCTCAGAAATATAGACAGGTATTGAAGTGCCAAAACGTTGTAATAAATATGG